AGGGGCCCGCTCCCGGCCACTGCAGCCTCAACCTGCTGGGCTCCGGCGATCCTTCTGCCTCAGCCTTCCAAGTAGCTGGAACTACAGGCGTGCGCTACCATACCCGGCTAATTTTTTGATTTGTTGTAGAGATGAGGTCTCATCAAGTTGCCCAAGTGGGTCCCAAGTATTTTTAAAGCACTTGTTGGCCAATTTCATCTGTCCTGTATGTACTTCAGTGTGTATCACTAAGAAATAGAACTTTTTAACAACTCCTTAATATTAACAATATCCATAACAATATCCATAATATTATTATGATATCTGACAAGGTATACAGTAATTCCTTATTGATCACCCAGTCCCTGTACAGTTCTCTCCATCTGCCTCAAAAATGTCTTTTTACAGTTGGCTGGTTTGAATCAGGTTCCTACTGAGGTAATCAAATTGTATTTAGTCGCTATGTCTCTTGGATTTCTCTTAAACTCTGACAGTTCCCCGTTTTTGTAATGCCATTCAATTATGAACAAACAGCCATTTTTCCTACCGGACTGCCCACATTCTGTATTTGACTGACTACCCATGGTGTTGTTTAAGATACTCCTCTTTGTTGTCTTTTTTTTTTCTTCCTGTAAGCTGCTAATAAGATCTAGAGGCTTGATCAAATTCATATTTATTTATGACAAGACTATTTCCTAGGTGGAGCTGTGTCCAGCGATAATTCATTGCAGCCCACTTGTAGTGATGTTAATGGTTTTTTTTTTTTTGGAGTTGGAGTCTCACTCTGTCGCCCAGACTGGAGTGCAGTGGCCGCTCCCGGCCACCGCAGCCTCGACCTGATGGGTTCTGGCGATCCTTCCGCCTCAGCCTTCCAAGTAGCTGGAAATACAGGTGCGCGCTACCACGCCCGGCTAATTTTTGATTTATTGTAGAGATGAGGCCTTGCCAAGTTGCCCAGGCGGGTTTTGAACCCGCAGGCTCAAGGCAATCCACTCACCTCAGCCTCCCAAAGGTGCGGGATTACAGGCTGAGCCACCGAGCCTGGCGTTAGTGGTTTTTTTGTGTCATTTTATTTTATTTTTTTGAGTCAGAGTCTCACCCTGTCGCCCAGGCTAGAGTGCAGTGGTATGCTTACAGCCATTGCAGCCTCGACCTGCTAGGCTCAAGTGATCCATCTCAGCTTCCTGAGTAGCTGGGACTGCAAGAGTGTGTCACCAAGCTCAGCTAATTTTTTCTAATTTTTTGTAGAGACAAGATCTCACTACGTTGTCCAGGCTGGTCTCGAATTCCTGGTCTCAAGCAATCCTCTCGCCATGGCTTCCCAAAGTGCTGGGGTTACAGGCATGAACCACCACACCTGATGTTAATGTTGATCAGTGGGTTTGGCACTGTCAAACTGATGCATTCATCACAGAGTTTCTCATCAATCTCTTACCTAAGTCATTGATGATCATTGCCTAGTTTCTATTTCATTGAGTATGACAAAATTGTGATTTTCTAGTTCTATCAGTCCTTCAGTATTGACTTGCTATGATTTTTCCATAAAGAAAAATTTTTCCTCATTAATTATTTGGTCATGCAGAAATATGGTTTGTATGGGAAAAGCATGATAACTGACACTTTCCCATCACTGACCAATTTTTGGCATAATCAGGTGATGCTCTAGCAGCCACCAACAGTGGCCAATGAGGTTAATTCTTCAAATTAAGTATCACAAATGTGTGGACATTCTACATTTGTGCTTCAATCTGTTAAAGTTGGTGGGTATTCTGGCTGAGGCTCAACTTGTCCCATCTTTGGACAAAGGGACCTTCTTCAAGGTGTGCCTGTGTTCTTTTGACATGACACCAATAACCTTTAATATTTTCTTTCTTTTTTTTTTTTTTTTTTTGAGTCAGGGGTCTCACTCTGTCACCCAGGCTGGAGTGCAGTGGCACAGTCGTGGCTCACTGCAGCCTTGACATCCTGGGCTCAGGCGTTCCTTCTGCCTCCGTCTCCTGTGTAGCTGGGACTACAGATGTGTGCCACCATACCCGGCTAATTTTTAAAGTTTTTTGTACAAACAAGATCTCGCTACGTTGCCCAGGCTTGTCTTGAACTCCTGGGCTCAAGCAGTTCTCCTATCTTGGCCTCCCAAAGTGCTGGGATTGCAGGTGTGAACCACTGTGCCCAGCCTATTTTCTTGTTTTTAGGTGTGACAAGGTAGCTCAAGCTTATCTTGTACATTTCCTGCTGCAACAGGGACTCAGCCATTTTTCTTTTCTGAGTTGGAGTCTCACTCTGTTGCCCAGACTGGAGTGCAGTGACCGCTCCCGGCAACTGCAGCCTCGACCTGCTGGGCTCCGGCGATCCTTCCGCCTCATCCTTCCGAGTAGCTGGAACTACAGGCGCGCGCTGCCACACCCGGTTAATTTTTTGATTTATTGTAGAGATGAAGTTTCGCCAAGTTGCCCAGGCAGGTCTCGAACCCGCGGGCTCAGGCAATCCACTCACCTCAGCCTCCCAAAGGCGCGGGGGATTACAGGCTGAGCCACCGAGCTGAACCCGGCTCACTTGTCTTTTTTCTTGGCAATTTAATCATTAAAGAAACTGGGAGGTTTGTTT